ACTGTCCCTTCCGTTGGGAGAAGATTTATATAGCCCTCCGTCGGCCGTCGGCCGTCCCCAAGTTAATATCCCTTGACAGACGTCCGACTCATCGGATGAACGCGCCACGCGAATAGAAATTATGGGCATATTTCATGGGAGCCGAGGGATGGAGGGGGGGTGGAATCCCCCCCCCCCCTCGAATAGCGTTCTGACATTATTATTCGCTGCCGGAAATAATTTTCAGCCTCCAGAAAATTTTTTATCCGTTGGTTGATAACATCGTTTATACTGCACGGAGATGGAAATCTCGCTAGAAATTGGTCCAACAACTTCTCTTGATTTTCTTTTTTTTAATTTAAAGTTTAAACCACACGTCATTTTAACTCGCACTAAAAAGGCGCTTGTATGAACTGGATCGCATTTAGCAAAAAGGAACCAGCACGATTACAGTGTTTTCAAAATCGTTCAACTTTTTCTTTCTTTTTAAAAATACTCAATATAAGCACAGTATTAAAATTTACATAATTACTCGCTTTTAAAATGAACAATTTATTGATGGAAAATGAAAACTTTCGGCTATTCTGAGCGATTTTTCAGGTAATGTAGAAGCAACCTTTTTACAACACTGTAATTGCGCTGGTTCCTTTTTGCTAAATACGATCCAACTAAATGTGAAGGTGAAATGAACTTCAGTAATGTTATATGACAGTGTGAGGAAGGTAACCTGAGTCTGCATACGGCCTGATTATCGAAATTACATAAAGCGATCCTTTTACTTGAAATAAACGGTTGCAATGGACAATGGAGGTAAGTAGTAGAACAGTGACGTGGCGTGCCTTGCGATATGTCGATTGATCTGCCATTTAAACCTATGGTAAAGGATCGATAAACATCAGGGTGTTCGCGACAAACTCTTTAATGATCGATTCTTCACCACAGCTTCAAATGGAGAAATATCGGCAATCGATCGTAAACGCCTCGCCACTGTAGTAGATCAACCAATGGCAACCCATAAGAGACCCTGTAGTTAATCCATCATTTTGTGTCCATTGTAATCATCTGCTTCCACCTTCTACCATTACGATCGCTTTATTTTCCCTCTATCTCCTTGGTTTATCGCTTTGGCTATCAATTTCAATAATCAGCCTGTTGTTAGCGGTGAAAAACATGATTGTAGTTTTGAAAGAACAGGAATGTAAATTACAGTAAAATCTGTGCATCAGTATGACCATGTGGATTGCATTTTGCAAAAAGGAACCACAAGTATTCCAAAAATAGTAATTCCATGTAAGCAATGCTTTTTTATTGCGCAGGTATCCGTGAATGGCAGTGTTTACTACTCGGCCCATAAAATTTAGGCCAATCCAAAGCTGTAAGCTTTAATTCAAAGATAAAAATCCACCCTGGAACAAACAGGCTCATTCTTGAAACTCCTTATCCGGGTAGACTTATTTTTGCGTCTGAATACGCGTCAACTTTTCGCTTTATGTAATTCGCAGATTAACATGTTTAATAGAACAAAAACAAAGTCCGAACAATTCTGCAGATTTTCCTCAACTAGTAAACGGACAACTGACTCGGGTAAATGCGCATTGTAAAACATACACAGTGAATAATATCCGTTACAGTAATGTCCACTTCAAAGTGTCCAATGCACAATTTTTCTGATAGTCACATGTTCAATGCATACATTGCAGAGTAAAAAATATTGAAAAATTCCATGTCCGAAGTTGACCTCTTTGACAATTCCCACTCATCTCCGGGCTGCATCGTATAGTTTTTAAGGCTCGCACGGTACATTTGGACCGCTTTCGGGAGAGAGGAAGCTATTCCATATCAGCTATTGCCAAATTTAACAGGGAAATTTAATTTTTTACAACAGAACATTTGTGCGGATTCCTTTACAAATTTTAAAGAATTTGCCTCGTACTATGCAGAAAATTCATTGAAAACAAGAATATCCGCACAACTGTTTTCATGTAAAAAATTAAATTGCCTAATTGATTTTGGCAATAGCTGATGAGGCTTGGTTCCTTTCTTCTTAAGGTGGTCTATTTCATAGTCGGGATGAAATTTTTATTCTGGTGCGGGAAATTTGGAAACGACAAACCTTAACCTTCGCTTACAAACAACAGATACCCAGAGTACAAAGAGGTTGACAAATAACCACAGCATGAATCCGTAACAGGAGGTGATAGAACCGGGCCCTAAAATGGGACATTTCCATTGAGCATCGACAAACGTTTTCAAACATTTGAAGTGCGAGCCGATTATTGGAATTGATAGACAAAGCTTTAGAAAAAGAGGACGAGGGGAAAACGAATGGCTGTCGTAGACCATGGGGGAAAATAGTAGGGGCCCTCGCGAGTTGCCGTTAGTTAGTCTATCGCATACCTTCTTGGTTCATGACAACCACCCATCTCCACCAATAGCAACACTCCATTTTCCCTTCGTCTTCTTTTTCTGTCGCTTTGTCCATCAATTACAAGAGTCAACCCGGGGATTCGTTCGGGATACTGCGTCTGCGTTATACGACGGAAAATGGAGGTATAACGGATCTGGAGAGCCAGTAAAGAATAGGTGGTCCAACCTTGACCGACCTTGACCTCTTTCGCGCTCTCACGTGATTACCCCGGCGCGTCGCGACGCTAGCGGCGCCGCTTCACGTAATAATAACATGGACCAAGAGAATAAATAAGGACCCCCAACTCCGGTTAGCGCTGACATCAGCGCTCCCTGGCAGAGGGTGTAGTGAACTAAACCGATGATTGGGTCTTCCTGTTTATATTTCCATGCACCACCTATTTAGGCTTATCACTCAGTAGTGCTCATGCTCATAGAAGTTTCTAGATCCTCGTATCCTCGTGGTCGCCCTGCAGTTTTGAAGAGTTTAGTGTGAAAAGTTTCCCATTTTCATTTCAATCTTCGTCAGTCTTCGTGTACATAAACTGGTATTAATGTGAAGTGTTATTTCTAACCGTTTTACTCAGCAGCAACTGCTGTTGAGAAAGCCAAAGGAAGTGTATATGTAGTGTGCAGCAGGAATCAGGATTGTACTTTTAGCCGAAGGCGCCTCTCTGTTAAGTGAAATCTTTTTAGTGAGAAATAGTGTTGTACTGATAAAAATCAACTGAGTGTCACAAAATCAAAGATACTTGACTTCAAGCATTACCTTTAATTTGATTATTAGCAAGTCTCTTTGATTCTGCGTCAGAAGTTGACTGAATCATCTTTGCTCGTGTTTTGATAAGATACTTCAAATCAAAGTCTTTCGCATTGACCTCTGCCGAAGGTATGTATCTATACAATTTCATTAGTTTGCGAAAGTAAAATGTATTAAAGTATCTACACAAATAAATAAATCATAGATAAACAAAGAACATTGCATGGAATAACATACTATAGAGGTACGATCGTGGACCGCTGCGGCGTTAGTTCACCGCACCCTCTGCCAGGTTCGCTGCGAGCGCGCGTTAACGGTTTTTAACACAGGGTAGTATAGGGAGTTGGGAGTCCTTATTTATTCTATTGGTCCATGATAATAACTCCGCGTCCAACGGATCACGCGTCGACCAGGGTCAATGCATCCAATCGGTAGCGAGTGTCGTGAATTTCATGGATGTGCTATTGCTCAAATTTTCATTTCAGCAGATCCTGAAATCATATGAGCCTTGCACCCTGCTTTAGATCTCTATAAACTTGTCTCGTGGTTATGAAAAAACGACGTCAAACCATCAAATTACTGATGACGCTGAAAAACAATGGGGGAAAAAAAGTCGCTTGGATCTACAGTACAGAATCTTGAAAACATCGACAAAAAAAATACTTTCGATTCAATCGGATTTTTGCTTAAATCGAGAACCTAAACTCTTAATTTAAGCGGATTTCTTTTTGATTCAAGCAAAAATCCAATTTAATCAAGAGTACTTTTTTCTTGTCATTGTTTTCAAGAGTCTGGACTCTAGATCCAATGTGTTTTTTTTTCCAGTGCATCTTTAATTAGTCGAGTTAAGAGAGGAACTAAACACGCAATTTGGCCTGGAGCTTAGCACAGAGAGGAATGATGACGAGGACTTGAGATGAAAAGGCGCGGCGGTCGGCATGTAACACATATTAGCGCCTACAAGACTGCATGAATACTTCACCCATTGCGCCAAACACAGTGCGGTCAGGAGCGGTCGGCGTGAAACGCATAGCGCCTACAAGACTGCATGAATACTTCACGCATTGCGCCAAACACAGTGCGATCAGCGCGGCGCGAAAAACTCTGCACGTGGAAAATTATGGTGAATTTCCGTATAGCCAGAGTTATACAACCTGCAATGGGGAAGGGGGAAATAATTTAAGAGATATTGCAGTATGATATTGGCACAATATTGAGGTAAGTTACGTAAGAGAGATAAGGATACTTACAGATATTGACACAATATATCTTGGGAATATTGCCGACCATATCGTCAATGGATTTTTTTGAAGGATATTGATACGATATCGCCCGGCAATATTGCATTGCAGAACAATATAGATCTTTTAAAAAAAGGCACGCGAGTGATAGTCCAGTACACGAAGGCATACAGGGCCCGTTTCCGGCAAAAAATTAACGTACGGCTGGATTTAAACCCAATCTATTCTAGTCGACCGAACCCAGCGGTGCGTTAATTTTTGGCCATCGAAATGCTTCGTTTACTGGACTATGATTAAAACATGCAAGTGGAAATCAACACTCAGGCCCCAAAAAGCACCAGCACTGCTTTTCGTTAATATCGACTTATAATATCGTTGATAATATCCCCGGGAATATTGCTTTTGCCTCATCAGGGATGCTCCCTCAACGTCCCTAATTCACTATCAATATTGCAAGGATATGGAATGGGGGTGTGTTGAAGAGCAACGTTGAAGCATTATCCTTTTGGAGGGTGGATACTGCTTTCGGGCCTGTTGTTTTTGAATGATTTTTTTTTTCTCAAATTAAACTTTCTTTTGAACCCATTTTTGAGTTCTTTCTTCGTTTTTTACAGACCAAGATGGCACCGTCTAACGTGATAAACACGGCGGCTCGACTTCTGTTCGGGCCCGAATCGGTGGTTCCTCTTTTCGATGAGCAGAAAGTTGGCAGACCTATAACGGAACCGGAAAAGAAAGCACCGGTAAAACCGAACCTGGAACCAACGCCCGTGATCGAAGAACAAACGGCAAACAACCCAAAGCCGAAGAAAGAAGATGCAGATGCCTACAGAGTCAAGATAGTTTGGAGGAACGTCATGCTCTTCACCTATCTCCACCTGGGAGCTATCTACGGCTTTTACTTGATTTTCACATCCGCCAAGATCCAGACATCTATTTTCGGTGAGTTCCCACGTGCTTTTACGCCGTAAGTACGCCTTAAGGTGATTCGATGGACGCCATATTTTGTGTCAGAACGGCATGCGATATATCGCATCAATTGGTTCCATTTTTTCAGCTACTCGTCATTTTTCTCCAATTTTGAGATCGCAATTCTGTTGTCAGGAGACTAAAGCACTCACGTACCAATTTTAACAAAGAAATTCAACGTAACAAAGGCGTGATTTTTAGAGGAAAAATATCGCACTCGATACTGATATCGAAACTGCACTCGAATGCGATATATTCTCTCTGAAAAAACCACGACTTTATTACGTTGAATTTCTTTGTTAAAATTGGTAAGTGAGTGCTTTAGTCGCCTGACAACAGAATCGCGATCTCAAAATTGGAGAAAAATGACGAGTAGCTGAAAAAATGGAACCAATTGATGCGATATATCGCATGCCGTTCTGACACAAAATATGGCGTCCACCGAATCACCTTAAGGCAGTGTCTTTAGAGGCGAATCCAGCAATTTAGAGCACTCAACTAGAACCAATTTTTTGTGACCATATGCAATCAGCAAGCACATCGATGATTATACCCCCCGTGTCATTCATTGGCGGATCCAACAGTTTGGCAACACCGAATTTCCGCCATTTAAACCTATGCTAAATAATCGATTCTTGTCGGAGCACCTGGCCCCTCCAAGAATCGATACAGTTCCATAGGTTTAAATGGAGGAAACCCGGTGTTGCCAAACTGTTGGGTCCGCAAATGAATGACTTGGAGGGCATGATCATCGATGTGTCGCTTGCTGATTGCATATGGTCAAAAAAAATTGGCTCTAGTTGAGTTCTCACAGCAGTTACAGCCGTAAGATAACAAACAAGATGACCACTTGACGCAACCCTTGGCCAATGCGCAATACCAGGAACTTTTTTTAGGCGATTGGTGGGCACTTCGTCATGGGATATCTCCATATCCCATGACGAATGCAATCCCACGACGCATAGAATGACATTCTACCAAGGGAATTTGGAGGACTTCCTGAACTCCAAGGAGGGTTTGACAGGCCTCTCCGGGAAACTGTCGAAGAGTTGAGGTGTCTTAGAAACAATTTTGAACTGTTATTACCAGAAAATTGATCAAAATCAATTAGTAATTTGAAAGATAAGTTACGCACTTTTGTAAAAAAAAAAAAAAAAAAAAAAAAAAAAAAAAAAAAAAAAAAAAAAAAAAAAAAAATTCTCACATTTTTTAGGAGGGGCCAAAGAAACTGGGGACACTTCATCTTCCTCTGTCGCTTCTGATTGATTCGGAGAAAACGAATAATTGAAATCGTCTTGAAATTCACGGCTAAAATATCAGAAGAAGAAATTGAAAAAATGATACATTAGTGTTTGAAAAATTCCCCACATCACAAATGTAAATCATGTGACGCCTCAAGGTCAGGAGCCCCTTATCCAGTTCTCAATTTCATAATCTGTATCTAACATCCACGGTCTAACGGTGAGCAAGAAGAAGTCGCTTCCAAGGATTTTCCCCTCTGAAACGTGAACGGTGGCTTTATACAAAGTAATTAGCTAACGTTGAGTCCCTCAAGACAGGTGTAATTATCCCAGGGATATGAAACTCATCTCTCTTGACGCGTAACTTCATGCCCTTTCTCGCCCGGCGATAACGTTGTAAGCTCGCAAAGTTTTCAAAACTGCCAACAGCAAGCTGCAAACTCAGCAAAAATCGCTCACCCACCGAAGGTTTCCCTTTGAATTTGAGCGACTCTTGCCGCACAGAACAGTGTGGGTGTCCCTTTCTTGCTGCTCTTAACGCCTACTTGCAGTGGTGCCAATTTTCGTGAAAACTCAAATTTTATTATCGAGCCGTTCAGCATACGTCGCGTCGCGACTCGCAGAGTAAGGTCTGCAAGTTTTAGACTTTCATGGAACCTTCAAGGGAGCTTTGGCAAGAATATGCTTAACGTGACGAGAGATTTTGAATTTTGTCCTTTCGGAATGACTTCTGTACAAGTTTTGATAGATGTATCCGTCGAGAATGTCACTGCTTCATTTTTTTTTTTTTTTTTTTTTTTTTTTTTTTTGAAAATACAAATTCCTGTAATTGTTGTTCAAATTTGTTTTCGTTCGGCCCCAACCAAGTAGCACTGCAGCCTGATTGTTAAAATTTAAATGGCTTTGTCGGCAAGCTAAGACGAGACATAGCCCTACCTACGCCGTGTGATATATCGATTTTCGACTCTTGTCGAACCGACTTAAATTTCAACAATCCGGCATCTCAGATCGCAATAAAGTACGCGTAGATGATACAATGTGATTGCAAGTGGATTGCGGGTTGTTCTACTTGTTGCTTACCTACCGATTGAAGGGGATCCTGGTGTTGACCTTATCGCGGGAAAATTAAAATAAGTTGCAATTTTTCTTTGCATCATAAATCGCCTATCTCTTTGATATCTGAATCCCATTTTATTGCTCGTTAAATCGGCATTTATTAATCGAATAACGTAAACATACTGCCCTTTTAATGGTAAAAAAGTTACAAATTTATTTCATTAGATTGTGCATGTTTTTAAATATATTTGTTGCACTGTGCTAATTGGACAACGGTCGCATGGACAGAACTGGTGACCCAATCACAAGGTGGCCCAAACAAGGCAAAACTTTCCCAAAGTAGATGCTCGACTACTCTTAAACCCAACAACCTTCCGACCTTCCGCGAAGGTGTCAGTATTAAGCTCTCGAAATTTCGAGCACAAGCACAGAGCCTCAACCCTCGGGAGCCTGTTCCCGAATTTTACCGCACGTTCCGGATAAAAATAGCCTCTTAATCTTATCTCAAAAGCTCACAGTTTATTAAACATAGTGCGCCGCGCCGCCGAGAGTACCTGGTACCAGCCTGGTAAGGCACCGTTGCCAAATTAGATGGAATCCAAGAATATGGGCATATATCCAGGCATATTATTTTATAAAATATGCTCAAAACGCAAAATAGAACATGGCAAATCTACCGTCCGCAGCGAAAAAGCCGTAACTCCATTCCAAACTTTGTATTTTCTCTCCGCACATACTTTCCTCTCACTGGAAAACTCAATTGCAACGATGCTCCATTTTTCCATTGAGAGTTCTAAATGGTATGCCAGAGTCGACTCGAAAAATGACGGATAAATGATTGATAGTTTTCTTGCAAAACAGCATTTTATCAGGAAAAAATTGAATGGAGATACGGTGTTTTCAATTTGGACGGCAGAAAATTGATGCTCTTATTGGCATCCAAGGCACACGCCTTCATGTAAAGAGGCGGCGATTTTTATTCTGGTGTTGAGAGTAAACAAATTGGAGCTCCGGAAAGGTAAACAAGGTGGATGCTGCGTTTTAATGAAAAATGGCGTAAGCACTCCACCTCGGCTCTTCTTCGCCTGATATCGTCGCTTCTCTTACTTGAGGGCGTATCTATATTTTCACATGAGCCCCAGAAAGCATAGAATTATATGGAGCGCAGGGCTCACTTGAAAATCGAGATGTGCCCTTACGCCAAAGGATCGACGATATCCTCTAAAGTGCCCTTAGATGTCTTCAAATTATATGCGGGATTCTCATTTTTCAACCAAATTATATGTGGGATTCTCCATTTTTGATTATTCAACGGAACTCTACAGAAATTGATCCACTAAACATTTTGTTTTCGTCGACTAATGGTTCGCTTTCTATTGACGGTTACGCATTGATAAAAATCGGAAATGCGTTTTTCAGATTACGATGATAAAAGTCTTCAATGTTTTTTTAATGTTTTCAAGGATAACCAACCATTAGATCCTGTTGAAATTCTCTGTATATGTTCATCGCTTTCTCTAAATAAATCACAGCCAATTGCAATGAAACGTTTCAATTAGTTTTCTTTGATTAAGATCGAGTCGGATGTTTTTTAAGGTGATTCGACGGTTGCTATTTTTTGCCAGAGCGACGAAAGATATATCGCATCAATTCGTTTCATAATTTAAGGTACTTATCATTTTTTTTTAATTTTGAGATCGCACTGCTGTTGTCATTATGAGACTAAAGAATTCTAAAGAGACTAAGAAAAATATAGCATTCGATACTAATATCGAAAGTGCAGTCGAATGCGATATTTTTCCTCTAAAAAAACCACGCCATTAATACATTGAATTCCTTTGTGAAATTAGATACGTGAATTCTTTAGTCTCATGACAATAGAAGTGCGATTTCAAAATTCGAAACGAATGACAAGTAGCTGAAATTATGGAACGAATTGATGCGATGTATCGCACGTTGCTCTGACACAAAAAATGACAACCATCGAATCACCTTAAGCGTTACAATTGAGGTTTTACTTTTTCGCCTTTAGCCATTGATACGTGAAGAGTGGAAATTCAAAATCTGGAAAGTCTCATCCGGTATTGCTAAAATTGTGCATCTTACTCCGTAGCGTAAAAGGACCTGAATACTTCCCTCCATTAAATTTTAGTGAAGAAATGTTCTATGAACCTGTTGAATGTTCTGTGTATGTTTGACCTTATAGAAACTGGTGCTCAATCGTAGCAACACCTGGGGGCACTTGCCAGGTTTTGAATTTATGCTCTCCCTATAAAAAAGATAAAAAAGCACTTGATGAAAAGATTCTCAGGTTTTGATTTTACTTACTCAGAGGAGGAATAGAGGAACATATTTTGACAAGCTCGTTTCCACACCACCTTAGGAAAGCCCGATCAGGTAGAGGATACGGTGCTGCTCCTGGAGGTAGAGCTTACGGCGCGTTTTTTTTAACGTGGTGTCGCCAAGAGCCCTAATCCACGGGGAAGGGAAGAAGAAAAGGGAGAGGGAAGAGGAAAAGGGAGAGGGAAGAGGAAAAGGGAGAGGAAAGAGGAAGAGGGAAAGGGGAAGAGGAAACAAAAAAATACACTCACGCCGATGCATCTCCACCTGTCACCTCTCCATGCCGTTTTTGATACTCCTAAAAACAGCTGTGCCCGCAGAAGACGAAAGTAGCGC